GCAAAGTAATAGATACTGTTCCACCCCAACATCTTAGCATTCTCAGCATCAAAGAGTTGTCCCTGCCCCAAGGCCCAAAGTAGGTGGAGCGGCATTGGGTCTGTTCCCCTTTGGCTGCATTTTGATATAAATTTGGCGTGAAGCAGCAACAACAGCCCATAGGGTTATGAAATCACAGAAAAGACAAGCATAGTCACCACAATATCTTTGATTTATTTTGAGGTTGGCATAATGCCATAGTTAAAGGAACATGCTGCATTTTGGCTTTGTACATGAGCATTTTCCTTCTGGAAGCAAGTAATAAAAGACATGAAACTTCTTCTACCAAATTGTTCTGCAACCCAAGCCCCATACCAGTCCTTCAAAACCCTCACTTTTTTTTTTTAACTGCACTGGTTTCAGGCAATGTTGAGCCAAAAGCTGTGCAAAAGCCTCCCCTCACCATATAAAAACACACAAAAGGTCAATCACGAACACAAAACATCACCAACCCAGACCCCACATCCCACTTCACCCCACCTTTACTCTTATTTTCATTGAAATCCCTCTCAAAACAGGGACAGGAAGTGAGGTGCCATTACTTCCCATTGCAATTTTGAGATATACTCTTCAGAAAAATGGAGGAATTTCGGTGCTAGGGGAGCTGAAGCCTTTGGGGGTATGATAATGGGCTCTGCCAATATCTGGTCTTTATTGAGAGCAGAATAGGAAAATGTTTTAGATAGATGTGTTAGGGAAATTAGGTGTTTTTTCAATCTTGACTGAATACAACGTAGGCTACTGTAATTTTCTGGGTAAATGCCTGAAAGACTGAGATATTCTTTGGATATGTGTATTTCTTGCTTAGAATAAAGTTTTCTTTACAGAATTCCTTTCTTTCAACATTCTTTTCATGTGCCTTTTGCTCAGTTTGTGTCTATTTGTCCCTGCGGAGTCAGGTAGAAACAGCAAGTCAAGTCTCCCAGTAATGTCCCACGGGGGGGGGGGGGGGGGGGGGGGGGGTAAAATCAGTGAGTGGTGGCAGTTCAAATAGATGATCTCTAGGGGTATCATCTTACTCAGCAAAGGCAAGAAGGGGACTCTGAAATCACTGCAGGGGGAAATTGGTCCTGGCCTTCATACAGTTGCCCACACATGACCTAAATAATAGATCTTGATTACTGGTGAGCCATTTGGGTATGGCCTCAGAAACAGAAAAACTGGATAGGCTGCACTGATTATGGCTGGAATGGCTGCACCATTGGAAATCCAGAACTTCAGCCAAAGGGTTTATATTGGTTAACAACAGGTAACAGTAAACTTTGCTTTTGATAGATATGACGCATTCATCAAATTTATGAATATTTAGTCTTCACTTTCAAAATATGGGGTGGTGGTGGTGCTGTTCAACTCTGGGAAATCCCCCTGTTTTTGCAGGGGATCTGTTCCAGACCTCCCCCCCCCATGAAAACAGAAAACTGCAAATATTAAAGCACCATGGGTGAACCCCCCATTTTGTCCCCCTCCGTTTGCCGCTCGCAAACAAGCGAGGGACACAGACTTGAAGTCCGTGAAAACGGAGGGGTAACTATAAATCTCATTATAACAGACTGAAGTCTGTCATCTGTATTTCACCTCCTCTTAATTATTCACTTTCATTTTACTGAAAATGGAAAATAAAGAGTACTATGTTTTGAACCCTTAGAAGGAAGATG